AACATGTGAGCTTGCTTGAGCTATTCGACATTTAACTTCTTTAATGCATCTTTCCTCTGGCACTATCAGGGTACCAACAGCTAAACATGTGAGCTTGCTTGAGCTATTCGACATTTAACTTCTTTAATGCATCTTTCCTCTGGCACTATCAGGGTACCAACAGCTAAACATGTGAGCTTGCTTGAGCTATTCGACATTTAACTTCTTTAATGCATCTTTCCTCTGGCACTATCAGGGTACCAACAGCTAAACATGTGAGCTTGCTTGAGCTATTTGACATTTAACTTCTTTAATGCATCTTTCCTCTGGCACTATCAGGGTACCAACAGCTAAACATGTGAGCTTGCTTGAGCTATTTGACATTTAACTTCTTTAATGCATCTTTCCTCTGGCACTATCAGGGTACCAACAGCTAAACATGTGAGCTTGCTTGAGCTATTCGACATTTAACTTCTTTAATGCATCTTTCCTCTGGCACTATCAGGGTACCAACAGCTAAACATGTGAGCTTGCTTGAGCTATTCGACATTTAACTTCTTTAATGCATCTTTCCTCTGGCACTATCAGGGTACCAACAGCTAAACATGTGAGCTTGCTTGAGCTATTCGACATTTAACTTCTTTAATGCATCTTTCCTCTGGCACTATCAAGGTACCAACAGCTAAACATGTGAGCTTGCTTGAGCTATTCGACATTTAACTTCTTTAATGCATCTTTCCTCTGGCACTATCAGGGTACCAACAGCTAAACATGTGAGCTTGCTTGAGCTATTCGACATTTAACTTCTTTAATGCATCTTTCCTCTGGCACTATCAGGGTACCAACAGCTAAACATGTGAGCTTGCTTGAGCTATTCGACATTTAACTTCTTTAATGCATCTTTCCTCTGGCACTATCAGGGTACCAACAGCTAAACATGTGAGCTTGCTTGAGCTATTCGACATTTAACTTCTTTAATGCATCTTTCCTCTGGCACTATCAGGGTACCAACAGCTAAACATGTGAGCTTGCTTGAGCTATTCGACATTTAACTTCTTTAATGCATCTTTCCTCTGGCACTATCAGGGTACCAACAGCTAAACATGTGAGCTTGCTTGAGCTATTCGACATTTAACTTCTTTAATGCATCTTTCCTCTGGCGCTATCAGGGTACCAACAGCTAAACATGTGAGCTTGCTTGAGCTATTCGACATTTAACTTCTTTAATGCATCTTTCCTCTGGCACTATCAGGGTACCAACAGCTAAACATGTGAGCTTGCTTGAGTTTTGTCCCCTTTAGTGTGATGTTGCATTTTGAAAGGTCAGTTTTTTTTTGTTTTTTTTTGTAATTAACACTACTTATGTTTTTCTGCTGTTCAAACTAAAAACCTTGTTTTCACTTTCCTTTACAATTATATCATTTCTTGCAGTTGTGTTTCATTTTCAGCGATCATCACTATATTGTCAGCATATCGCAGGCTGTTAACAATATGCCCACTAAGTGATATTCCTGACATGCTATGAATGGATCTAGTTATTATTTCTCTGTACAAATTTAATAAATTGGGTGATAGTACACATCCCTGTCTAACGCCTTCTTTAATATTTTGAAAAGTTTCAAATTGGTTGTCAATCCTTATGACTGCTTCTTGTTGCTAGTATATATTTTTTTTATTTTTTTAAATTATTATTCTCAGATCTTTACCATCGATGTCGAAGGTTTCCAAAATTCCAATAATTTCTTCATGTTTCCTCAAAGCTGAGCATATCTCTAAAGATAAAGTCAACAAGGTGGCATACGCTCCATCAATACTTGACTGTGCGAGGGCTGGAGGCCGACTTGCCTAGTTTTGTAAAGTACCCAGAATGAATCCGAAAGACCAGCCTGAGACCAGGCATGGTCCTGCAGTCTGCGGAAAATGCCAGCTCATCCTGATTGAGTGGACCAAGCCATACGAGTCCCGGATGGAGGACAATCACCTGTAAAAGCTCGAAAAGTATGGTGAGCTGGTGGCCGATCTGATAGATGACACGTACACAGTAAAAATCTTTGCCATCGAGGTAGGCGCAAGAGGACTCATCTCCACTTCCACATACAATGTACTAAAGCACCTGGGTAACGGGGACTAAAACAGCTTTGCAAAGCAGCATAAAAAGCTTCCAGCTGGCTTTGGACGCAAAGGACGTTGTGGTGGATGGGCCTCGGTAGACTGGTCTAGGCCTCTAGTGGAAAAGCACTTTACATTGCTTTAAAGCCAAAGCATCTAACAAAACGTCTACCAGTGTCTTTTTGCCAATTACCAAAGTTCTGTTCGATGAACAAACTGTAAGCTTGTCACTGTTCATAAAGGTAGGCGGCTAATTTGCTACGGTAGAGACAATATATGGCAAACTACTCGACGTAAACTTGCCTAGAAAAACCTCAACAGCCGTAAAATGCTGGAGTTGGTTCTGCAACGTCCTGTAAAGGATATGCAACTTTAACAGCTACAATATATAACACTAAATGTCACGATACCTGTTGCAAAGTCACTTTTTCGTCTTGTCCCTGTCCAATAAAGGCCTCGCCTCATGAACCAGTTCGGCCCACCTTCAGAGACTATATAGGAAGTAATAGGCCGAAGCAATCATTGGGGAATCTTTCTACTGGTGATCGGTGGACCCCTGCTGTGCATGCTCCCCTGTGTAGTTCTTCTTATTATCTTCAGTCATGATGTTACCTGGCCATGGAGATTTACATTTCTTCATTTGGTTTTTAGCATCTTCCGCTTTCAGTACTGGCGGCCCTTCCCAATATGTATGGTCTGCTGTTTTCATCTGTAGCTCTTTTATATACTCTGTGCATCTTTCAGTTACCTTCTTTTTCTCCATTAATATTTCACATTATTTTTTCAAACTACTTGCTGATAGTTCTTGTATTCATTTATACATGTCTTGTATGTTCTCTTCTCTTTGTTCTTCAATTTCTTTGCATGTTTTATTTAGCCATACTTCTTTCACTGCATTTTATTTATGTATAATCGCTCTGATATTTTTTGATAGATTAACTGACTCTTGATGAACGGTGTGAAAAATATTGTGACCGCCTTTACTTTCCAAATCAATTGGTATTAACTTTAGGCTGGTTCGACCCAACAGCCAAAGCCAGTTAAAAATAAAATAATATGTTTTGATGCAGATTCAAACCCTAGACCTTCAGGCATCACTCAGCCACTGCACTATCTGGCTCCTCATACCAAGATTTCCTTTACAGTATGTAGGTGGTGGTCCTTTATAGAGAAATTAGTCTTCTTGTTCTATACTGTTTGAACATTCTCCATTGTTCTTTACGTCCCAATGTTTAGATACACTTATAACCGGAGATTTTTTGTTTACAAAAAGGTGCCAGGACTGACCACAAAGTATGATAAAGTTGCTAGGACTGACCACAAAGTGCCTGATAAAGGTGCTAGGACTGACCACAAAGTGCCTGATAAAGGTGCTAGGACTGACCACAAAGTGCCTGATAAAGGTGCTAGGACTGACCACAAAGTGCCTGATAAAGGTGCTAGGACTGACCACAAAGTGCCTGATAAAGGTGCTAGGACTGACCACAAAGTGCCTGATAAGGGTGCTAGGACTGACCACAAAGTGTATATAAAGTAAGGCTGAAAACTAACAACTGAAAAGGTGCCAGTACTGCATACCACCAGACAAAAAAGCCCTGCTGTTTTAATTCTATTTTATTGGATATATAATCACCCAATGAGAGCTGCCCTAGCATAAAGGTTACTATGCAGCAGCCAGGGCTGTATCAACGCCTCGCAAAAAAAAAAAGGGGGGGGGGGGGGGAGCTCAAGGTTCCTGAGTCTCCCACACCCCCCCCCCCCCATGTCTTTAGTAACATGTGTAGCTGCACAGTGCCACATTTGTTTATATCTGACAAATATCTGGTTATTTTCTTCCTAACTTCATATTTCTGTTAGGTTCTCATAGAAAGCGATTTTCTTTTAGGCAGGCTGTGATAAGAGCCCTGTTGTTTTGTCCAGTTGAGTTTTTCAGTCACAGTTTGTGTTTTTCTTAATGCCCCGTTGATAAAGACTGGTCAAAATGTTTGGTGGTATTTATATTTGTATTTTATATTGTATTTAGCACTTCTGGTCATATCTTGACCATAGTCACTACTTCAAATGACAAATATACTAAAGACAGATCAAGGAGAAGTGACACTGGAAATAATTTTGTTTAATAGTAACTAACGGAGTTCATGTTCTTCTTCTTCTGCCTTTCTATCCCACAATAGAGCATAGGCCCTCAACTAACTCACACCAAGTCATTCTATCCTTCGCCATTTCATGGAGCTCTTCCCATATTTCTAACTTCATTCTCCAGCTCTCTTCTCCGTGTTTTTTCCCCTTCCTTTATTCATACGCCCCTGTGGGTTCCAATGCAAAGACATTCTAGTTATGCTGTTCTCCTGTTTTCTCAGTGTGTGTCCTTTCCAAAACCAGCATCTTTTCCTCACCTCTTGGTCAACTACAGCCTGCTTAGTTCTCTCCAAAAGCTCTACATTAGTTATTTTATCATACAATTTAACTCCCTCTATTCTCGCTGACACCAGTTAATGAATGTCTGTAATTTATTAGTAATTGCCTCATGTATATGTTAACAAGGTTTTAAAACCAAGTTATGCACTTTCAATTCAAACATACCTCACTGAAAGTTGGAGAACCACTAGAGACTTGGAATAACAGCTGAATACACTTGAAAACCAATGCCGAAGGAAACTGATGAACATTAAATAGGATGAATTCGAGAAAGATCAAGAGAACAGAGAAATGTCTCGACAACAGTTATAAGACAACTAACTGCATGGTTTACAATACTGACTGCTCTCCCCCTGATTCTGATATTTAATTTTATGATTGTGCTCATTACTTTGTGGACATGCTATCAGAACAATGGTCAATGAGAAGAAACTCAAGGCAGTTCTGTACAATAATTACGTCCGTATTTTAATGCACACATACAAACAATCACGCTATCTATATAAATGTATGTCTGGATCCTCCTGAAACACTATAGACTCTTCTAAAAGGTCAAGTTTACATGTAGAATCACGATCAGCTGGCCAGCAATTTTGTTCACAAGTGTAAACAAGGACAGTCCCAAACTCAACTTCACAGGGGGTGCCTAAGATAAAATGAAAAAAAAATTAACAATTCTGTATTAATTAACCAGCATGTAAATTACACTTGTACTAAGCAAGAATGTTTAAAAGAAGATAGCAACTGTATCTTCTTCTTCTTAGCATTCACTTAGTGTTAACTCCAGCAGTGAGTGCTTGTTGTTCATCCCCTTCTAGTCTTTGGCCTTGTTCCAGAACTTGAATTTTGGGTGCAGATCCATTTCAAAATGTTTGGTTCCTTGCCTCTCAGGTGGACACACTCTGACTTGGAAGGAAACAGCCCTAATCAGTTGTCTTTAATGACATTCTTGTTATGAGGGCCAGGGGTCTAGTCCAACCCCCCCCCCCCCCCCCCCCCCCTCCAATGGAGAGAAGGCTAAGAAGAAAAGAATTTCTGTTCACAGATATATTTTTAAAATGTCAACAGAGGTCATCACTAGAGCCATGAAGTTTCTGCTTTCTGTGATGCTCATGGCAAGCGACCAGCTGCTCTGCAGATTAAAGACAAAACAGGAAAAAATAAAACTTGGTGCAATGAAGGGGATCCTGACATTTTCAAACATTATTCACAGGTCCTGATTGTGAATGACTCACAGAGCATGGTGAGAAAGGTGAAAACAGGCATGCTTCCAACAGAGTGGCAAGCATCACTTCAGAGGTCACAGGTAGTTAACATCCATTGGCTTTTTCTTTAAGGTTACGCCTGTGTGTTGGGAAATAAGCAGACAGATAGACTGGCTGGCTCTGCATCACTTGGTGGCGAATCGATTAATGACAAGTTAGAAATTGTGAGGGTCCTTTGAGAGCGGGTGAACAGAGTTGGAGGTGCAGATAGATCGTTACGGTCTGAGGAGAATGGCGCTGTGAGGAGTCACCAGGGGATCTGGCCTACACTCAACACTCAGGGGAAAGATGAGACGGATATACAATCATACAGTTACCATCAGAATTTGAACTCTTTGCTTGCTGCTGAAGATGGGGAATGAGTACTTATGGGAGTGTCCTGAATGCTGTCGACTCTGAATTCAACCATTATTATTCAGTCAATGAGCAGCATACATAATTGAAGCAGGATACTGGCAGCATGTGAAAGACCCTGACAAAACTGAACAGAAAGAGAACAGCAAAGGATCTAGAAATACTACATACCATCAACTGTCCTCAAAAATGGTATCAGCGGAGGAAGCAGCTGAAACTCAAATATTCTTCTTTGTCCACAGTGTGGACATGGGCTAACTGGTTGATCTTGTAAATGGCTGACTAAAAGTGGGTCACCTCCTCGGTCATATCTATGGAAGAAGGTTATAGTTAGTTTTATCACTTTACACAAAACTTTTAGCATTGGTAAAAACTAGTTATATCTTCTTATTCTGCGCAATCAGAAGCTGTGAAATCTGGCATAAAGTTCTGGTTGTTCTGACTGTCTGCCCAAGCACAAAATGGGTATAGGCAAAGTCCTGGGAAGTAAAGGAAGACAGGATATGAGATATTGACATCACTTACCATGGGCTGACTGGTCTATAATATAGGTCTAGCACTGTATACCCAATAGGCCGGAGGGAGAGAGGAAATGGGTATTTTACCTTTACTTAAATTTTAAACAATCGCACTAAAATATACGCAGGCAGGTGGCAATGTCTGGAACCAAAAGGGAAGAGTCCGTATGGTGCCACACTAGTGGTCTCCAACCCTTTTCAGGTCACGCTCCCCCTTTGAGTACATGGCAAGATCTCCAAGCCCCTGTATACTGCAAGGCCCCTCCCCCCTGCAATTATATGACAAGGACCCCTGTTTCAACATACATTCTTTGTTTTGCACCAAAACAAAAACAAAAATAATAATAAAAAAAACAAAAAAAATGTTATGGTCAAACAGCATCCCCGAAGGGGGAGATTAGGTTATAATTGTGAGATATTAAATTGCTTAGCAGTGCTCGCCACCAAGCAGCCCTGAAAATGACTCTGGAATGAAGTCACCTACCGGCCAGCCAATGGGCGACCCAGACGCCGATGGTTCCCAACATAACAAAATGTGATTAAAAAGAGGAGAAAATAGATTCCGCAACAAGAGAAACAGTCAGTACAGAGAAATGTTTTGGTCAGAATGTGTTTTTAATCCAAAATTAAATATCTGTGTTATTTTTTAAAAAATAATTAGATTTTCTTCTTCTTTTGTTCGCATAATTAGATTTTAAACTCCTCATAAACACAAAAATGCCCTTGTCTTTTTGTTCAATAAACAGATTATTACAGGTACAAATGAACTCTTTTGCAAAACTGCTTACTCTATTCCCCCCCCCCCCCCCCCCCGATCACCGTGCTACAATAATAATAAGACAAAACGCTTCTGACCTAATACACTGCTGAGGACAGCGCTGTAACCTTTTCATAAACTTGTAGAAGATTCTGTCGCCATGTTTGAGTTCAGTTTTTTCATAAAATTCAGAAGAACTATCTTTTGCTTTAGATGTGGGTCTGAAAAGGCACAGCATAAACATTAACTGAATAACAAGTAAAGTGTTTTTTCTTCCCCTGCTCTTTATCCCCGAAAGGAGCACAGCTTCTCAACAAAATCACACAAGGCCATACTATCCTTTGCACAATTCATGTCATTTCTAGTCATACTATTCACTTCTGCCTCAATTTCTTTTCTCCATGTGTGCCAAGGTCTCTCCCTCTCTATCTCTTATTTTAGTACAAGGACATTCTAGCTATTACCAGGCTTTCTCAATGGGTGCCTCACCCAGTGGCTGCAACATTTACTCTCCTCAGGATCGCTGAAATTATTAGTGATTCAGTCACAACATCTCATTCCTTCTCGTCTGTGTGGGCAGAAGTAAATAACTGTTTGCCATCTATTAGTAACTAAAAGTCTCCAATATTTCTGCTCCATACAGCTGTTGTGATTTCATGTTAGAATTAAATATTTCAAGCTTCGTGCTAGGATTAACTAATTTTAACTCACACACCTTTCATAGTGCCATAACAGCGCCTCTTTCCCTTTTTACACCACTATTCTGCTCCCTATTTTTTTTATTAACTAGTGTCTGAATAGGTCACAGAGTCATTAATGGTGTAAAAACACTGAACAAGAGGCTCACACAAAAATAATTCATCAAATGAAAGCTATGATAAGTTGCTCGGAAACACATTATTTAAATATACAGACATTCAATAAAGCGAGTTTTATTTTAAATTAAAATGTAAAGAAATGAAAAAGAGAATAAAAATGGCAAAAATATCTTTAATAAGATGAACAAATTACTGACATATAAAGAGATAAACAAATTAAAAATACTTGTTACATTAATGTGGTGAAATAAATAAACAGATAAGTAGACTGCAATCAAAGTTGGAAGACAACACCAAAATATGGACAGCCAATTTAAGAGTCAGAGAGTGTAGGTGATCCACTGCATCAACCGTCAGTATGGAGATGGCACTTGACTAATTTTTTTAAGCAATACATTTAATAGCTGTCAGTGTATGCTGAGTTTTTCCCTCCTTCAAATCAGGACAGAATTAATTAGTAGCAAGGTAGAAGGAAACTTTAAGGCATCCATTTCATCCGCAAACTACTAAAGACTGAGTACCTATATGCCACCCACTTTAGTAATGTATGAATACAAGAGCAGGTGAGGTATTAGCAGAGTGCCATAAAAAGACAATCAGCAGTCTGAAATAGCAGCAACAACGCAACAGAAAATTGTGGAGGAATTTGATAACTTGCACCATCTAAAGTGACACATGACGACAATATCTCATGTTCTAATTACACCTTAATCCACCTTCACAGTGTTATATATATCAGTCATAAACATACGATATAATACCTGTCAGAGATCATCGTGTGCAGCTGTTTGCCTTCTGACTTTTCATAGTTTCTGATCAAATGACTGACATGATCATTGACCTCCTCCACTTTGGCAGCTGGCTCATCCACAACAGACAAGTAGTATGGCTCAAAGACTATTGTCCTATTAGAGTTTAATTTAGTTGGTGAGCAGTCCTGTAAACATAAATATAGTCTTGTAAATGTAAGTAAAGTCTTGTGAACATCAATCAATCAATCAGGTGCCGTCTCCACAATGAAGGTTGGCTGCAATGGATCTCCAACAAGCCCTGTCTCTTGCCCTTGATGTACACTCACTCATACTGCTGTTCGTCCATCTCTTGATGTTATCCTCCCACTTGTAACGCTGTCTGCCTTTTGCTCGCCTACCTTGAACCTTTCCCTCTAGGATGATCTTTACAATACTGTTATGTCTTTTAATGTGGCCAAAATATTTCACTTGTCTCTTTTTTATTTCACCTAGCAACTCTCTTTTCATTCCCAATTTCCACAGTACCTCTGTATTTGATAGCTTTTGTTTCCATGAAATACGACCTAATCTTCTGTATATCCACATCTCCAAAGAATTGATACGATTTTCTAGTTGTTTGTTCATTGTCCATGTCTCTGTGCCATACAGTAAGGTTGAGAATACATAACATTTGACAATTCTCATTTTTAATGTATTGCTTCTTTCTCTTGATGTCAGTAACTTTTGCATGTTGTTGAAAATGTTTTTGGCCATCCCTAATCTTTTCTTGACTTCTGTTTCACTTCTGCCGTCACATGTTATTACTTGTCCAAGATATAAGAAATTTTTAACTTGTTCCAATTTCACCCCGTTCACTGTGATATTCATTGTTAGCTGATTATTTTCTTTGCTAAATATCATGGTTTTTGTCTTTTTCAAATTTATATCTAATCCAAATTCTGCACTCCTTCTGTTTACTTGCTCCACTAGGTCTTGCAACTCATGCTCACTCTCTGCTAGCAACACTGTGTCGTCAGCATATCTCAGATTGTTTATTATTCTACCATTGATGTTCAGTCCTGGTAATTCTACAATTTCTTTAAAAATGGTTTCTGTACATAAGTTGTGAACATAAGCAGTCTAAATATGGCCAGGGTGGGGCTTGAAATAATGGAAAATTTTATCCTTAAAAGGACGGCAAAATGAATAGGTGATAAGAACTAAAAATAAGAACTAATATTTTTAGTTCTTATCACCTATTCATTTTGTCGTCCTTTTAGGATGAAATTTTTCGTTATATGAAGCCCCACCCTGGCTCTTGCCAGGGGCCGCAATATAGCCAGGCCATAAATATGGTCAATTGGCTAACGCGGTTTCTGGGACTTTTTCACGGTGATCCTCATCCACATGGTGGCACATTGTGTCATCGGGTGTTTATTGCTTGTGTGATGTCCTGGTGGGGTAGAAAGTCAGTCAGTCAGTGCACGGTTATGTGAACATGTAGACGGTTATGTGAACATTTAGACAGTTCTGTGAACATGCAAAGTTCTGTGAACATAGGCATGGTCCAGTAAACAAAAAATGTATGTAGTTGCAAAACCATGACAGGAAGAAATGAAATGTGACAATCTTCTCCAATTCCCCCCCCCCCCCCCCCCCCCCCCCCCCCCCCCCCCCCCCCCAGCTGTAGCCAACAGTATTTGTTCTCAGAGTTGACACTTGTCTAAAGTTTCTGACATCACTATATACTTATGTTCTGAGTTGGAATACTGTGTTGTCATTAAAATACTTCCATAAAGCCTAATGTTCACAGTTTTCACTCTAATTTACAAATAGATTTAATTCTACTTGATCTATTTTTTTAGTTCTCTAGCCAATAGTTTATACTTTTCCCCTGTTATTTACATATGCTTGACCTTTTCTATAGTTCTCTAACTAATAGTTTATATTTGTCACCTAATTTACAGACTTACTTCTGCCTGACTATTTCTATAGTTCTCTAACTAATAGTTTACATTTGTCACCTAATTTGCAGACTTACTTCTGCCTGACTATTTCTATAGTTCTCTATTGTGAATCCTGTCCTCATGTGGGATGCAATTTTTTTATTATTTGAAGCCCCACCCTGGCTTCTGCTGGGGGCCCTGAATATAGTAGGGACATAAATATGGCTAACGGCTAAAAAGGGATTTATGGGACCTCTCCACGGGTGATCATCATCCGCATGGTGGCACTTTGTGTCACCTGGTGTTTATCGCTTGTGGGATATCCTGTTAGGGTACAACTACTAACCTACCTTGTTAATCCTGGCTAACAGATTCTAATAAGGACTGATGTTGACAACAATATTTCAAAATTCTATTATTTCACAATCTATATCCTCCTCCTGTCACTGCTGGCGTACAAGATGTTTACACGTGATTTTAATTCCATGGCTGCCTGTCTCCTGCTTTATTTATTCTGAGAAGTAATTATTTTACTATTGTATCAACAAGTAAATTATTAGTTCAGAATTCTACCTGCTCAAGTTTTGTATTCAAAAGCTTTGCCAAAGCATTCCATCGCTCTGCGTCAGCCAGGGATAATGTCTCTTCAACTGCAGATTCTTCTGTGTCTTGATGGTCATCAGGCAGGGCAGAACTTGTTTCCAAATTATCTGGCATAAAGATGTTTTTTGCAAACAGCATTTTAAAAGGTACTACACATAGCTGTAGTATCTTTTGTTTTCAAGCAATAGCACTATCATACAAATAGATTTATCTTCGCCTTTAACCTCATAGATTTATCTTCGCCTTTAACCTCATGATCAGCCAAGGCTGGCCATGAGGTAAAGACGCTGGGCTTTTATTATGGAGACCAAGGTTTGAATCTTTGACAATGTAACAGATTTAGGTAAAAATTAAATCCTTACTGCAGTCTTTGGTGACAGAACTAGTCAAATGGTACCCTAAATCTTTAGGCTTATCCCTCCACCCCCCCCCCCCCCCCCCCAACTTTCAGCAAAGACAGAAAGAGATTTGCAGATTACAATTAAAAGAAAACTGTTCCTTTTTAAACCCTTTAAACAAGTTTTGTGCAGCACATTGTAAAAACTTTGCACGCACTGTTGTGAAGTTTACTTTCTTTAAAAGTAAAAAGCTCTTTGAAATGAACTTTCACCTCACCCTTATCTTTTTTCTGCCAGGAGAGGTGTCTTCGAGAATCAATGAAGTGTGCCACGGCTGTTAATGAGACCACACATTCATGGACAGTGTAATGATGCTATAAATAGGGATAACGTCAGGGTATGATTGACAGAACTGGGGAAATCCCTAGTATGAGAAGCAGAGGTTTTGAGGAGAGATTGTGAAAAGACAAAATTGAACTATTCCCGTGTGAATACAAGATCTGGGAGATTTTGGTTGAGGTGGTCATTCTGTGACCCGACCCCAGAGTGAAAGTAAGTGAAACTGAATCCAGAGTGGTAGGTATGAACATGGATCTGAATGAGAATCCAGTGAACTTTTAGTCCTGAACAACAAAGAGCGAAGCTGTGTTGAATTACTGTTTAGGACAGCAGTTGTGTTCTACGGCCTGTTGGTTGTGCCAATCGTGTGCATGTCAGTGTCCATCATCTGAAGTGTAGCTGGAGACTTAGAGCATGAGCAAGGCAAGGTTGCCTGAATGGTGTAAGTAATTAGTTCTACTGATAATGCTTGTCGCTTGTGTTGTACTGATAATAAACCCTACGTCTACTGTCATTCAGAAACGTGTGACAGTTGGAGAGAACAGCAGTCTGACTGGAATGAACTGTGACATGAAACCTAAACAACAGAGCTAGTGTTAAATCTGCAAAAAGGAGGTGTATGTGCAGAGGAGACACATTACAGTGAGGAATAATGGTATGCAACCAGGTCAAGATTCAGCATAGCAGATCCAGAGGTGCTGAAATTAGGACCACGCTGGTAATGTTCCCTCCAAAGGTCTCAGGTATTTCACTGTAACCATGATCCAAAGCCATGATTAGAGGCAAGCGCTGGTTTCAACCCTGCCCTACTTGCACGTTTATCTGCCAGGCCAGCTGTCATTTATCTACATAGATTTTAATGCCATGTATAAGGAATTTCTAAAAACTGACTTAGGTCCCTAGATTACCAGCCTAAAATAGAGGGTCTCTGTGGCAAAGTGGTCAAGCCATTTGCCTTATGCGCCGAAGATCGTGGGTTCATCTCACGACTAACATTTGGTTTATGAGTGCAATTTTTATGGAGATCCATGGGGATCATTACTGGAGCTAAGGAGTTCTTGCTTCCTGTGAAGCAGGCAGATAGCCATTCTGTGGATACAGACTGGGCCACATGACACAAAACCCAGTGAAATGAAGCAACCCTCTCGACTGTAACTTTAACTTCAGCCTAAAATGTGTACCACAAATTATTTTGAGAAGTAAACGCAGCATACAAATCACACTGCTCACTGATAGATGAATACACATTTGGTTCTAGAGCCATATAATCAATATGCCCCAAGAAATTAAAAAGGGTCTTTTTCTGGGCATCGAAATCAGCACCACTGCAGCGCAGCACATTACCCTGACTCCTTTTCTTTCTGAATTAAGAAGCAATCACAAGATGACAGCACAGGCAGATCAGAAACAAACCTTCGACGTCTGCTGGGCAACCATGCTTATGTACATCATCAGACAGCACCAGCTGAGAAATGGAGGAAAAAAAATTAGTTTCAAAACAGATAAACCTTTCTAGTCATTAAAAGAAAACAACAGATTATAATAAACACATGCATGAGACAGGTTTGTCTTAAGTGGATGAAAATGTTACAAAATATATCAAACATTCCATTTGGAAAACACCTGTACACATCAAAAGCAAATGAAACCATGCAATTCAGTAAACATATAGCAGTAACCAGAAAATAATAAAAATGTAACTAACAAACTAACACAATGTAAACCTATAAAGTAGGCAAGAACTGCAAAAATGGGTGAAAAATAAAATACAGCATTTAACTTTCAAATAGACCATGGCCTCAGATAATGGGATGGTGAGACAGGTCAATTCTGTGGTTCCTTCCCCCTCAAAAATAAAAGGATGTGATGAGTTTGTGTATAATTAACACATACAAGTCAACAATGTTAGGCTTTGCTTTCCTGTATGGGTTCCAGTGATTTATTAGGGAGAAGGGAAAGGAAGGGGAAAAGGGGGGAGGGGGGGGGGGAAATAGACCCACAACCCCTACCAAGCACATTGTAAAGGTTGACTAATCAGTGAGGGGTGTTCCCTTTGAAGCCTAAGTGCACCTGTTTTTCAGTGGAAAGTTTTAGTTGCTCTCCCTTCTGGACCATGGTCTTGTTTCAGAATTTGAGTTTTGAGTGAGTGCACATCCATTTTTACAGATACAGCTGATTTGTATGCAGATTGCTGGTTTCCTTGCCTCAAGCAAACGCAGACTTAAAAGGAAAGACCTCTAATTAGTAGAATTTCACCTTATGCTTGTTTGGGGGTGGGGGGGAGCAGTGGTTTAATTCTTGTTATCTTCATAATGGGGCCCCAGAACCCACATGAGAAGAATAGTTTAAGTAAAAGCAGTATTTTCATAGGATGAAAAATATTTATGGAATTTCAGATTAAATGTTGAATTAAGAATTAACATCACAGCACTCAGGACACTCCCATTACCGTTCCAGTTCTGATGGTACCAGTAACTGTATGTATATCCATCTTGCCTTTTCCTTGAGCTTCGGCCTGACCACCTGGTAATGCCTCACCGTGCCATTCTCCTCAGACAGTAATAATCCATTGGTGTCTCCACACTGTTCACTCGCTTCCAAAGAGCCCTTACAACATCTGACATGTCATACATCAATTAGCCACCAAGTGGTGCAGAACTGGCCAGTCTATCTGCCCGCTCATTTCCCAACACACCGGCATAACATAAAGAAAACATCCAAAGGATGCTAGCTACCAGGACTCTCTGAAGTGATCCTTGCCACGATGCATGAAGCATGCCTATCTCCACACTTCTCAATATACTTTTTGAGTTGGAATTTCAGGTGAGAAGGAGAAAGGACATTGTTCAACAACAATCTTCTTTATTTGCTTTAAAAGCCAAATAAAAATTGCAGTAAGGGAGATAATTACCCCACAAATGAGAGTCCTAGCATATGTGAAGTCCTTGTGTGGGTTCCGTGGCCCAGTTGTTGGGAAAACAAGAATAGACCTACTGCCTGCCCCAAAGTATGTCGTAAGAGTTGACTAACCGGGAGCCTCCTTCGAAGGTGGAGTACATCGGCCTGAGAGGCATGAAACCAACAGTCTGCATGCAAATGAGTCAGACCTGTGAAATGGATGTACAAGCAACACTCAGGTTCTGGAACAGGACTAGAGTCCAGAAGTGGATGAACAACCAGAACAGAACTTTCCGTCGGAGCTTACAAATGGTGAGCGCGAAGAAGAAGGACCTGTCATAAAACTGTACAAAATTAGCAGACATAAAGCAAAGCATCACCTTAGACTGATTATCATACCTGAGATAATGACTCCATACTCTGTAACAAACATCCGTTTGAACCTGGACAGCCTGAGTCATGATTCACAATCTCTGGTTTAAGGACTTCTATTGTTTCTGAGCAAGCCACACCACAGTCACTTTCTGCTGGTTGATCAGCTGACTCCTGATATGGCGGCAAGACATGTGAACCATCATCCAACTCACTGGGCTCAACACCCCATTTATCTGACTCTCCACCCCAGTCGTCTTGGTCTTGAGACCAAAAATCGTCCACACACTTAGAAGGCTGCTGTGAGATCTCTGTAGCTTGTTCACTTTCAGGGTGATAAGTGCTGTCATGCTTCATAGACCGGAACACCCTCCACCTATTGTTGCAGACAATAAATAATTACAAAACAAATTCACAAGATCAAAGAGAACTATAGCAAAAACATTTGCTTCTAAATATGGCTGTCATAGTCGTTCTGCCCACTGTGTTCTCAATAAGAAATTGTAGTAACTATGGCTCTTGTAGAGGTATGTATACACAGTTGGATAGAAAAGACAGTGACAGGTGAAACACTGTTCAGGAATTAAACTTCACAGAACTGTCACAAGTTTCTGGATATTGTCTGATCAGTGATGAAACAGGATTCTGGCATATGAAAACATAAATGAACAATAATAATTCTGATTCAGGAAGGTGCTTCGAATTCACATATTGGCTCAGATACCTCTATTAACCTATAACCCAACCCCTCAGAATTATTAAACCTTTCACATTACTTATGCTTTAAATTTTTTTTTTTTAATGGGTGATAACCTGTGGTCATCCCTGGAACAAAAATCCCCTAATAAAAAGCCTTCTACACAGCTCATCAATAAGATGTTAAAAAATGTATTTACATACAATTGTAAATTCTAAGATATATGGGGTGATTAACAAGCGGGTCTCCAAGAGAAAAGATCAAACGAAGAGGAGATATAAACTTTATGGCAAATAGAAGAGCAAAAATGGGAATTTAAAAGAGATGTAAATGTTTTTGTTGAATACAAAAGAAGTTAATCACCATGATCAAACTATGTATTGAAGACACTTATAATATAGTAACATATAAAGGCAGAAAGTCCGTTTTCAAATAACACCTGGTTTAAAGCAAGGTGATGCTCTGTCCCCACTTCTTTTCAACTTGGCCCTAGAGAAAATTATAAAGACATTGAGAGAAGATTGTATGATAGGAGAAACAAGAGGCCGCGTTAGCGCAGTTGATGGGAGACTTGCTTTCAAATTCAGCTATGACTTGTTGCAGCCCACAGCTAGTGTTCGAAACCGGGTGGTTCCCGGGGTTCACACAGCCTCTAGGCAATAGGTATCATAATTAACACTCTGGGGTAAATGGAGGAACGTCACTGTAGCTAAGAAGTTGTTTGCAGACGGCGACACAAGCGGACAGTTTCTTATCAGCTGTCAGCACTGGTGACAGAGCACTTATGGTTTATAACCGAGTGCAATAATGCTGGTTCATATCTCCCGACTTTACCTTTAGAAACAACACTAACACTTGGTCATGCAAATTATATTAATACTGTCGGAGGAAATGAACTAGAGACTGTAAAAAGAATGACGCTTCCAAAGGGACTAATTATCAATCAAGATAAGACAGAAAATATGGTAATAGCAAGACAGAAAAAGGATAACTCCGGCGACATACAAATCGCTTATACAAAAATCAAATAAATGGAAACATATAATGCTTGCGTGCAAACTTTAACTGCTCCAACATGCTGAGAGAAAAAATTCAATCTAGAATACAATCTGGAAATAAAGTATATTATGTTCTTCAACATCTGCTAAAGTCAAACTCTCCATCTTGTAACACCAAGATCAAAATATAAAAAAAAGTTGATAGGACCAGTCATTTTATGTCTCTGAAACTTGGAGCACAACTAAAAGAGATGAAGCCTTATTACAAATTTCTGAAAACAGTCTCTGCATCTTTGGATCCATCACAGATGCAAACAGTGGGGAATGGAGAGTGGGAAGCAACAACAAAATTCATAATCTGTTTAATTAAATCATCACTGATCATGAGGGCTAACAAACTAAAATGGCAGGAGCATACTGAGAGAATGTTAGATGACAGAGAGGTAAACACTATGTACACAAGCGAGTTAAATGTGATAACAAAAAAGTAAAATTAATACTACCGGCTGCCACTGAGTACACTCCAAAAATGGACTAGAGTGAAAGGGTTTTGTTCCAGCAAGGTGTGACTAATCAAAGTTGCATCAAATAAAATTAACGAGAATCGTGTACCTTCTCCACTTAAGACCGGCTACAGTACCCACAGGTGTCTCTAGAAATATTACATGGCAAAACCCCAAACACTCCCATGATGTGATTCTTGTTTCATTATCCGCAAAATCAACCATGTGAATGATTGTTTTAACTAGACAGCCCACCAGAGAAAATCGAACCCTAGAAGGGTAAAATCCTTTTTCTTCTTCTTCACTTCCTCTTTTACTGCCAGGAAGATATAAGGTTCTGCTTTTTGCTCTTCTGACCACGTCGACCATAGACCTGTTATAGTTTCTCTAATGTTACCTATTTTGTTCTTGGTCTACCTCTTGCTCTGTGTCCTTCTCTTTTGGTGTATGCCTTGTATGGTATTGCATCACAAGGCATTCTCTCCAAGTAGGCAAACTACTTGACTGGCTGTCTCTACATGATTTAGAAATGGTTCTGTGCCAACTACTTCTGATTTTATCTCTCCTGGTCATTCCAGCAGCCCTTCTCAGATATCTCATTCCTGTAGTTACTAATTTCACTTACCCACAGGACACTGCAGACTCAACAAACACCCGTATAAATTAGATATGAGCCATTTAGCCCTCAGCCAGTATCTTCATGCTGAACAGACCAGAGAACCCGCCTTGCAAGACTCCTCCCCTGGAGGAGCAGTAAATCAAAATGTGACCAAACCCAGTAGACCTAAAAACTAAGCTTTGGGGAAACCGAAGAGACCTTGAACTGATACCTCAGTTTATGGCCCATAGAGGATTAAGTGCATGACAAGAAATCGCAGAAGAAGTGCCTAATTTGGTAACTTGTCTTAGCTTGCTTTGTTTAAAAAAATGGCAGGTTTAACCAGCATCACTTAAGTGGAAGCTCTAGGTTATAATTGTGACAAGGTTATGTGCGCCATATTAAATGACTAAACATTGCTCACCACCAAGAAGCCCTGAAAAAACTCTTGCAGTGTTGGTGTGATCAAAGGCGACAAACCCAAATACTTTCATAACCGGAGATGAAGTCACCTATCGGCATTAGCTAGCCTGGTAAACTTCTGCATTAACTTTTAAACTATGGAACCACACATAAAATTTGTGAACACATTTGTAAAACGACAGAAAAATAAAATTAAGTTGGTAATAACTCCTCACTTACCCATGCTGTTGCTTGCTGCAATCCCTCGGACATGCAAACAAGTAAATACAACGGTTGTATTCTGAACCACCAAGAGGACAATAGATCTGTGATATCAGGGAGGATATCTGGCCACAGTTCTTGCATTCTGGGACTGATGGTGATGATTCTGTACAAATCCATGCCTGAATTAATGGAGAAGAGCAAAACAAGCAATTATCTCATCTTATCTTGATTCTATTGTAACTTGTGGTGTCAAAGGTGAAGTAAAAAAATATTTAGACTATTTTGCAAATTGAGTTAATAATTTTCTCGGTACAACTCAGTTTTTCAGGCCCATCTAGGTCAACTCTGCTCAATTTACATACTTATGATTGGCAGAGTCTGGCCAGGACACTGTGATTGGGTGGTCAGTCTCCACAATAAGCTGTCAGACAGTCAAGTGTAATCGGCAGGGGTGTCAGTTGTCTCTGCAGTGTATAAGCTGGAGTGCAGACAGGTGCACAGGGTATTGAAGGTTTTTCTGAGCGACTCAGTATGTAGTATTAGTGCTTGTTGGTGGGAAAATTACAGCCGTCTAGGATTTCCATAGGAAATGAGTTTATTGTAAAGCGTAGAGTTCCATGTCTGTAGTAACACAGCGCTGTGTGGGCAACTGCAAAATGTTAAGAAGTCTGAAACCACGGCACGTAAACGCACTGTCTCGTGTGACCTATGTTCAGTTTGTGTCGAATGGGATTTGTGCTAGGGCCAGTTCTGCATGTTTTTGGATCATTAAAAGCACTGACATCCTGAAATATACAGCATGCAATAACACCGGCCGCTGAAAGCTTTTTGGAGAACACAACACACAGGATACCTGTCACCTTCATAAAGGTTGCTAAGCCTAATAGAGTATGAATCAAAGGTGTCATAGTGTGTAAATGGGTGGAGCTGGGCCTGGAAACGTGAGTTGTACCATTTCTCTACTATTATCATATATTTAATTAGATATATTCAATCTTTTTTTTAAGTTGTAGCATTCACCAGCTGCAAAACTCCATGGAAAAGTTCTGGTTGTTCATCCACTTCTAGATTTTAGTCTTCTTGCAAAACTTTTTTTTGGCATGTGTATCTGTTTTAAATATCTTGTTTATCATAATGCAGTCTGTTTCTCAGCTTGCAGGCAAATTTACTTTGACTTCAAATAAAGATATATTTCAACTGATCTTCAATGTGTTATAGGTGACTAAAAATACCAGATAAAGTAATCTTATTTCCCACACACACTGAGTCATTGAGTGCTACATTGGAAGCCTCACTAATCAATAGCTGTCTGCCAACTTCTGTTGCAATCAGTGCGTACAAGTGTGGGAATACCTATCAACTCCTTATTGTCAGTTCTTGGATTTTATCTATTGGCCTTAAACTGTTCTTAAATAAAATAACACTTCTTAAATAAAACAGTTTGATACATCTCATGGCAGACACTTCAAAATACATTCAGTCACAAAACTGATAAAACATGTCACTCTTAAATAAATTTAACTCGGTAATGGCCATATGTTTGTGACAGTAATGTGGTGATTTTACCGTGCCTTCTAGAACTACATGAGAAACTGACAAATCATGTTAAAATCTATTGTGTGTTGCTTTCATATTTTTATAATTTCTCCAGGGTAGCAGAAAATTAGTAGTGTTTTACAATTTCTCAGCTGACATTGCATCTTTAATGTACACTACACAGATTCTCATATTTTGTCCTATCTATAAAAAAAAAGTTTCACAGCAGATTTTGTACCCCAGAAACAAGAACAGTTAACCTCCATACTCTAGCAGTATTCAAAAGTTTTTATTTGTAAAATGCCATTATCAGTATTATCAGAGAAACAAAAATGTACACGCAACTAAACAATTATACAAGTGGGAAAATAACACCAAGCAATTGCCGAACAGCAATCTATTGATCGGCGCCTTTCCACGCAATAGTGTTATTTTGTACTATGAGGGGGACTCAAAACCCATGGTGATGGTGACTGTGACTAGCAAGACCCTTCCACGTTAAGAAAAGTCTTCCACAATTATAGTATGGGATTTCAAAACTGGCGTTGTCAACATTTGTGTTTAGTCTGTTTCTTCTCAGACACAGCTCTCATCTTTTCTGCAATCATTTCTTCCTTTATTCTCATTCCCTTCCTGATGTGTCCCCTCCAAACAACAGGGTCCATGGCATTTTGGTTCATGTCCACCTCAATACAGCAATCTATTAGTCAGGTGTATATTAACTATATACAAGGCTACAGACTGGCAGGGTCAAGGGATGCTGGAGAGATCCCACGATAGTGTAGTGGACCAACACGCACTGTAAAGAGTTCAACTGGGCAGACAAATGTGTGATTCTTCCTGGAGACTAGACACTGCAATTGATTTTGTGTATTCTGTTAATGAATTGTTGTATTATCATCATCTTCATACAGCAGGTCCTTTGCAGGATGTCGATCTCATCTAAACTCAAATCTCATAGTCTGAGAGTCACCTATATCTTGTGCCCATCTTTGTGTTAGTCTGCTTCTGCCCCTCCATACTGGTACCATGCCTTCTAATTTTATTTTCTCCAATCTGCCAAGGCGCTTGATATGACCAAAATATTTCAGCTTTCAGATTTGTATTGCATATGGTGAAATGTGCTGATGAAGGCTCTTTAGCCATAAGGTTCATTTGCCGTTTGTGTTTGGTGACAATCTGAAGCAAGAAGGTTCTGTCTTTTGTTTGGTTTAATGTCTTTTCATCTGTAGTTTAGTAAAATTGTATTTATTGATATATACCTTTTAAACCAGAGTCCAAAGGTACCTCAATTAAGCCTTTATGTTAATTCTAAGCTGAGAAATTCACATTTTAGGGGATGAAAATACTCCCTAAAAATTATACTGGAAAAAAAAACAGAAACAAGGAGATTGCATATTCCCCAGTGGAAATTGGACAAGAAATGACAAAATGTGTATAACTGTTATGTGTTTTGACGAACTGCTTAGCAACCACATATCATTCCATTCATCAGGGCAGCAAGCTCTAACTAAAAATGTTGCCTTTTTACACACATGATGTGATCACTGGATACAAACCTGACTGACATATAAAAAGGACAGTCAATGAATCAATATTAATTAAATAATCAATGATTATCGCCCAGCAAGCCTTGCAAGATGTATACTGAACTGTTGTAATGTTGTAATGCATGCTGTTATGACAATTCTGGGTAATTGTGTGTATTTCGATTATTTCATAATACTGGTCGAAAAACGCTTTCGCCGCACTGTCACTTGTGTTTGTACATCTGACAGAAAATTGCTCTTTTCCATAGCTGAATGTTCAAAGGTTAAGGCTTAAGTCGGGATTAACTTGATGATACTGAAAAGTAGCATAGTTGTAGTAGTAGTAGTAGTGGTGATACAGTATAGTCGCAGAGAAAGTCAGAAAACATATTAATTATTATGGCAGCCAAACAAATACCCTAACAGGGTCTCAGTCGTGTGTAAAATGCAGACTTCCTCCGACGAACACATCGCCATAAAACTAAGATTACTGTCTGTTGACAATTATGAGAAATGCAACAATACACACGATAATACCGACATGGCGGGGAGATCACGCGCTCTGACGCAGGTTAGCAATAGTTTTTTCCAATAAAACTCACCGCCGAGCTTATCCCCAGCGCTGCTACGCTTAGCGCGTATGCAGGGAAAAACTAGATGGCTGGAACTCACGAGCAGCAGCCACCACATCTCCTGCAACTTCCTCCAATTTATTTGCTCATGAGTTCCAGCGTAGCGGAGGATACTGTCGACGGTGCGGCCTAGTCGCAGAAACAGGTCGCCAATTACCCAATTGCTGAGTCCCTGTTAGAGTATTTGTGGCTATCCTCCGAATAGCGGTCCTAAATTATCGAGGCAGAAAATATACCCTAACAGGGCCTCAGTCATGTATCAATTGTGCACTTCCGGCACGGCCGACAGTATCCTCCACGCCGCTCACACGCCGTGGATTGGGGCTAAACTAGATGGCTGGGACTCACGAGCAGCAGCTACTGCATCTCCTGCAGCTTCCTTCATTTTATTTGCTCGTGAGTCCTAGCCTTCTAGTTTAGCCCCAATCCACACCGCGTGAGCAGCGTGGGAATACTCTCGGCAGTGGCGGAAGTCGCAGACATTCGCAATTTGGCTGTGGCATTATAGTCCCCGGAAGTGCGCAATTGACACGTGACTGAGGCCCTGTTAGGGTATATTTTCCGCCTCGATAATTTAGGTTCAGAGGATAGCCAAGTATTTGTTTGCCCTCCTTTGCCCCGATATTCGAAGAAGGCAATCCTAGTTTTGCTGCAATTTGTTCCTCAGCAGGCACTCCGCATTTTACACACGAATGAGGCCCTGTTAGGGTATTTGTTTGGCCGCCATAATAATTAATATGGGGACGAAGTTTGGAGGAGAGCAGAAAATTCAAAACTGCTTGAAGTACAGAAGTTGGATGAGTAAAACTAAACACTAAATTAAATTAAAATACTGATAGTTATTATATTAGTTAGTAATAAAATAATATGAATCGTCAACAACTACAAATGTCTAGTCTATGCCAGTGAAAGTTTATTAAAACTTTAAAGATAAATGTCACCTACTGGCAAACCTCCAATTTTATTGATGTCCCAACTGACGACCTGTGAATTCTCTATCTTCTGGTCGAGAAGGCCAACATGCACAGTCGACATTGTTGTGGATTATTTACGATATGAGAAATCGAAAGCGGAAGTCAGATGGCGATATTGACGTGGACGTAAAAGTTAGATTCGATGTTTAACAAATCTATTCTTGCATAAAATATTTTAATATAAGGACTAAATAATGGTTTTCAAGTATGGTTTCAGGGTCTCAATCAGTGTTAGGTGAAGAATAAATTTGCTAGATTTGGGGGGGGGGGGGGGAAACTGTCGCAGAATGCTACTAACTAAAAATTTGCCGAAAATGGACTCGCTGAGCCGAAAGGTGTAGATATCGCCGCCTAGCTGTTAACCACCACACAGCGTACCAGCTGCCCTTATAATGGCGTATACAGATGAAGAAACTGTTGATTAAGATGTTACCTCAGCCGACCTACCTTTCAGTTAAAATACAAGATTTCGCATGCCCTGGGAAAGTGAATTATATTAAAGTATCGGTCGGAGCAAGTACCTTATATAAAAATATAGATGTCAATTCTTGATTCATTCATTCATTCATTCATTCATTCATTCATTCATTCATTCATTCATTCATTCATTCATTCATTCATTCATTCATTCATTCATTCATTCATTCATTCATTCATTCATTCATTCATTCATTCATTCATTCATTCATTCATTCATTCATTCATTGATGCGTAGTCATCATTGTCTCATAGTTTATATGTGGTGTCCCTATTAGGCGTAGAGCCGCCATTAAATGCTGGTCAGTCCTGGCATTCCCCACTATCCAGGGGACTTCCATAAATGCAGAGCTTATACACAGTGATGTGGTGTTGGCCTCCCCCAAGGAATTGTCACTTCTGCTCTTGACTTGTTTACCTTATTGAGCATCTCATTCATCCCGGACTGTGTCTTTAGAAGCCAGAATAGGCAGCCTGTAGACCTGGGATTTCAATTACCTGCACCAAATGAGTACTTTGCTTCTTTTGCATGTTAGACTTTTACTGCAGTGGTATTCCGTGTCCACTATAGTTTCATACATTTCCCACAGACATGACCGGGAGCAACCAGTGTGTCATCAGTATATGTCCCTTGTTTTTTAATTTCTATTTTATTCCCACCATATCATGGTTTCTAAACTCTGCATTTTCAGGGACTACCAGCTCCGAGATCCTCGACAGTTATTCTCCTGCACATATAGCTGTCTGCCAACTTCAGCTGCAATCAGCGTGTACAAGTGTGGGAATATCTATCCTTGTTGATAACCTTCAGAGGTCAATGTAAATATATTTAAAGAAATGAACAGTCTGCTTGAGATTGTTGACTTCTCCACAAAGTTTGTCATCTAATGGAGCGTCTGTGAGCCAGAATAATTGTCTCTGCTCTTGGAATGTTGGGTACCGTCATTTTATCATAGCCATACTTACAATAATCAGTGCGGGTGTTCAAGGAAACGAGCGTGCAGACTACCTTGCTGACACTGCCGTTGCTATGGCTGGCCCAGTACTGGACATAAGTGATGTTGTCAATCCCGTGCGTTGCACTTACCGTATCGAGGAGCACGCCAAAGACTTGACTCTGCATCCCTGTCTAGACTGATGGAAATGGGGGTGCAGTCTGGAGCTGCAAGAATTAACATTTCACTAAGGGGACAAGACGTTTCTTTAACCTACAAAGAACAGGCTTTATTAGTCGTTTTACACTTGTCGAGCTTTTGAGGAGAAGATCGGAGCACTTATGGGTCTGTCCGGAGTGCTGTGATGATAATCCTTTCTAATCACTAATCAGTGTCTCCTAACTTTAGCTTATTGAACAAGCGGAGTTTCAGTCTGTTATGTTATGTACGGAGCCTAATATTACTATTTGTTCTCTTCAGGCAATTTACTTACATTAACTGCGCTCCAGAGACGTTGAAACAACATTTACTTACTTGGCCTGGCAGATCAGAATCTCACAAGTACTATAAGTAATTCGTATAAACCTCTTAGCCTCATCACATGTTATGTCTATTTCACTGGTATTAGCAGGCTGGCATTGTCATCCACCTTGTGTTGTCAATTTGCTGAGGAAGGTGAAGACAGTGATGCTTCGAGCAAAGTCGCAAGCTTTACTGGAAAGGTCACTGGTAGTGAGCATACTTTGAATCTTTTCTCTAGGCTATGCCTGCATGGTGGGTAATGAGCAGGCATACAGATTGGCTGGATCTGCACCACTGGCTAATAAATTGATACATGAAAAGGCAGATGTGGTCAAGGCTCTATTGGAACAAGCAACAGAATCAGTAGAGAAACAAGATTATTATGGCCTGGAGAGAATGAGGCACCTGGGTGTAATCAGAGGGTCTGGCCGGCTGACTACACAGAGAGGAAAGACAAGACGCCCATTTAACCACACTGTGACCGGTACCATCAGTATTGGAACTCTGCGCTGGCTGCTGAAGATGAGGACGGAGCATTTCATGGAAATGCCCCGAGTGCTGTGATGTAAATTCTTGACTCAACTCAACTTTAATTTCTTTCTCAGTCTATTGAGTGCAATTCTTAGGTCTGCTAGTAAAGTATTGTTTTTGCTCTTCAGTACTGTTTCAACTGACTCCACATCTGTGAAGATAGCCATGTGTAGAAGAAAGCTACGTGTTTCTTTTTCTGTTTTCTCTGATAGCTCAAATACATCCGTTTTCACTTGTTATCAGTGTCGTCATACTAGCACATCGGTCCGAATCCGTTCATGCTCCATTCTACGATGCTTCTATCAGCATCTTCAAGCTTAACGTATCCAAAGGAGTTGATCTGCATATCTTCTACCTTTGCACAACAACCAGGTTCTGTATGCTTGTATTGGTTTGATATGAACTTCCAACAGGCGGTTCATCATCTCTAACTTATGTGTCTCAGCGTTTCTGGAACGCAGCACATAGGTCTACTAACAACTGCAGATTCGACAAGTCTATCTGCTGTTCCATTTCCTTTTACCCTGACATTTTCAGTTGTGTACAGCCAACATAGTTTATGAGGGGGGACTTCTAAGTTTGCCAGTTTGGATCTTCTTAAGCATGCCCGTTGATTCTGTCACTATCAATGCGTGCGATACTTTCTGTTCCGTCAGCCATCCATTTGATCCTGTAACAGCTGCTGTCTCAACCGTCATGCACGAAGAAATTAAACAAAATGCCCGACTTTCTTCCTTTGCTATCTTCTCATTGACATGTGCTGTGTATTCACCCAGACCGTACCCCAGATATCACTGAGGCATATGTATAGAAGACGACGTCGCATGTTCGAGTATGCACGTGTATGATAGTCCTTATTTTAGCACCAGTGGCTGTTTGGCTCCATTCGATGCGATGTGCCCAGGTCGATTATTACCTACATATTTTGAGGCTCGGATGCAATTAAACCGACAGATGTTCAACCCTATCATGACCGCACATTTGCAATAAACATCTGGTGTCACAAAGTGTCACTATTCGGATGCTAATCACTGGGGCAATAGTCCCAAAAAACCCCGTTCAACCGTTAGGTTATATTAGGGTCCCCGACTGTAGCCGGAGTTGGCTTTAAAATAACATAAAATTGCGCCCCATATTTGCGCGAGGTTACATTCAAACACACAATGAAATAAAGACACAATGAGTTAATATAAGAACTGTCTGTGATAGATTACAGTAACAACATTCTATTGCCTTTAAAATTACGAAGAATCGTTTAATAAGTTGTATACAGCTGAAAACATTAAATTCCAATTAGACCAGTGACTCTTAACCTTCCTAATGCCGTGACACTTTAATACAGATCCCTCATGTTGTAGCGACTCCCAAACAATTATTTTCCTTCATAACTTCAGTGAATATTTGTTTTCCGATAGCCTTAGGCGACTCATGTGAAAGGGTCGTTTGACCCAACAAGGGTTGCGGCCGGCAGGTTGAGAACCACTGCTTCAGACTAATTCAGAGAAAACCCCACGAAACTCAAAGACAACAGACCAAAACAATAAAACACTGAGGCGAGACTTCACGTCGTGAGTTTCTGATAGCCACTTGGACAGATAAGGGTCGTTTCTTCGCAGCCATTTTAGTAGACTTGTGAGTTCATTTTGAACTGAGATCAACAGGCGTGTACGTTGTTTACAATATGATATTTATCCCCTACACGCAGTAAACAAGGGCATCTCAGTCATACATAAGTACTACCTCCCACGTAGCAACGATACACGAATGACCTATGTCGAAACTTCAAGACAAGTTATTATCTACAATTTTCAGGTAGAATGTTTTTGCCAGCACCTACCTATGGTATCTCCACTAGAGGACACACTTGAATGTCACCTTTGATTAGTTCAAGCTCTGGCTCCGGACAATTTCAACCTACACTCTACACACGTTTTTCGAGTGTCAGGCTTGATAAATAACCCCACTCCCCCTCCCCACCACTATATAGATCTAGTACGTACCATTGTCCCTCCCTCCTCCTCTCGACAACATAGACCTGGTAAGTGCCACTGACCTGCCCCTACCCCTTAACCTTCCCCAACCAAAATGGCAATTTCTGTAAACAAGTGGACTTATCTGTTCAAGTCTGCAACTCTTGAAAACAACGATACACAACTGATCTACGTCATATCCTACCCCAGTCTTTTGATAAAGGGCAGTCGTCGACACAAATTTCCTGGCCGAAAAAAAGTTAATAATGATAACCATGTCAGGACTCTATGCCACTGTATATCTAACGTTGTTTATTTAGTAGTGACACAAATCTAGTACACTTTGTGTGAATTTTACGGTCTTCCAATGAAACATGTTAGAGTTAGTTATAACACAAGTTTAGCCTTTTAATATACGTGTTATTAACAATTTTAGAGAATCTGGTGGATTTCAAAATTTTAATAATGCGAACACAAACAATATATGCACAATTTGTTGCCAGGCATATTTCGCTGTAACTCGTCAGGTGCGATACTATAGAGTTTACATCAACATAAAATAATACACACACACAAAAAAAAAAAAAAACTGAATAAATCCAACTGAAATGTAAACAGTTTCTTTCGACACATCGTGGTGTGTTTTGGCCGCCGGAAGCTCACCGTAAAAGTTGCTTATGGATTTTAAAATGTTTGGTGTCGGAAGAAATGAAAGTGTTGTAATGATGATATCGCCACAATGTTTATCCATGAAAGTGTTGTAGTGATGATATCACCACAATGTTTATCCATGAGAGTGTTGTAATGATGACATCACCACAATGTTTATCCATGAAAGTGTTGTAATGATGATATCACCACAATGTTTATCCATGAAAGTGTTGTAATGATGATATCACCACAATGTTTATCCATGAAAGTTCGAAGATAATCTTAGTGAGGCATTTGTCGTATTTGGGCAAACACGGACAATTTTTTAATTCAAAATATACATGCCCCCTCGCGGCCCCCCCCCCCCGTTTTAACGGTAACAGATGAGGAGCAATATAAATACAGTCAGTTCCACCAGATGTTCCGGGCTCCATTGTGGGGGAGAACAATAATAGACCCACTGACTACCCAGAAGCATGTCGTAAGAGTCGACTTATTGGAAGCTTTCTTCGAAGTCGGAGAGCATCTGCTTGACAGCCAAGGAAGCGACAGTCTGCATACAAGTGAGTCAGATATGTAAAACGGATGCGCACGCAACACTCAGGGTTTGGAGCAGGGCTATAGTCCAGAAGTTCACGAACAACCAGACCTTTCCCCCGAAGTTAACAGCCGGTGAACGCGAAGAAGAAGAAGAAATACTGTCAGTATTAAGAAAACCGACAAACCACTTTTTCCATCATTGCTCCACTATAATCATTATTTCTTTTCGGACTCCTGCATATTGTCTTCAAATGGAGCTCAAGTCCTCCTCACCCAACTCAAGTCAAATCTTTAAGGGGGCTGCCTGATCTCGAGGCATGGCATCTGCCTTGAGTACTCGAGTCCCGCGTTCAGGCCCCGATGAAGGCTGGGATTTTTTTAACGTGGACTTCGTTAATTTCCCCTAGTCTCTGGTTAGTGAGATCGGACGCCCGTGTGTATTATTGCGCACGTATAAAATACCTTGGCAGTTGAAAATTGAAAAGATTAGCTTAACGGTGCTGTCCGGGCTAAATTTGGAGTGTAAAAATCTACCCACAGTATTTCAGGATCCACTCTAGTGCAACTGAGTTCCTTCACTGTGCTGGGCTGCTTTACACTCAGGCTTGAGTTAGAAGTAGAACGGAGCACTTATGGGTTACACCCGTGTGCTATGATGTTAATCCGTGGAATAAACCAAACCAAACCAAACGTCAAATCTTTGTAGTCTTGCTCATGACTGGTTGATTTTAAAGCTAAAGTTTTCTGCCGGATAAGGTTTTGAAAAAAAGTTAAAAGCCGAGAGGATTGATTTCATTGCATCTGATTGTATACGACTGGCTCCGTCTTTCTCCATAGAACGGCTAGCTGCCTGCCTAGAGCGTCACACAAAGCGCGAACACCGTACCTCCGGCGACAGTCCTCAAGCGTATCCGTAGTGATTTCACTCGTGAACCAAACGATGCCGCCGTGAAACGAACCCTCGGCGGCGAGGCAAACGGTTTGAACACTAAACCGCGGAGACCCCCATGTCGGATGTTTAGGCTGCTGACTTAATGGTTGGACGGCCCGAAATATGAAGATCAGGATGGGTCTATCCCCATCTACCGGATTAGATTTCCAGCATTACCCAACCATTCTTACTCACTTCTTTTGACAGGCACGAGAGGTTACACTGTTGCTTTTATTTGCTTCGTTCACGGGACCAGTTAGCAGACTCACTATTCACTATGTTAACTGTTTAATGAGTATATGATTGTCATTTTTCTTCAGGATTCAAAACTCAAGTCTAAGTAGGTGGACACCAGTTCGTACTCAGCAAGAAACACCAAACAAGTTTGCTTTTTCCTTGTGAACCTTAAAGAAATAGGGACAAACTGAACTGATTAAAAAAAAAAAAAAATAACATTACTTAGAACAAACAAAATGAAAAATCAAATTTATAAGCCGGTTCAAAGTAATGGACACAAGGCTTCGAATAAAACGAAAGACTATAGGAACGACCAAACTTTTGACGAGGAGACTTCAGATTCCCGCTGTGGGGTTTCGTTCGTAAATCCAGCGCTTCTGCAGCCTTGTGCAAACATTGGAGTCTTCTCACTGTTCTTCAGCTTGGCAGCGCTAACGACGTCAACACTGTCCACTTACGTCACTTCCCAGGTAATGTTCTTTGCACGTTTTGTCTTGTTTTCTTGCGGGGTTGTTAAAATAGTTCAAGGCTGTGCGCAGTACCAACAGCTTTTAAGGAATATTTTTTTTAAGCACTACTTGAATCAGGGAGAGTGCAGGATTCTTTTCTGTTATTTCACCACATCACGGAGCCCCCGAGATTTAGTAGGGAAATCCTCAGAACTTAGTATGGGTGAAAAGGGGGGGGGGGGGGGGGTTAGGTAATGCCTTCTCCAAAGTGGGCTATGGTGCTGACGTCACCAGATTGACGTGACGTCCCCACCTCCGGGCTAACGATACCTTCCATTTTCACTCTGACAGTCCGGATTTTTCAGTGGGATCCCTGCTGTCCACTGAGTACCCCCCCCCCCCCCCCCCCCCCCACCCCCCCCCCTCCAAAGTATAGGAATAAGCTCGAGAACAGAACATATTTATACAGATATGGCAAAGTTTTGGAAGCAATGTTCACTTTAGAACAACTCTCACCACAGACACTACCTATTTCCTTATCAGAGATTTATTGGCAGTTTATGATACAATCTTTTGACGGTGAATGTTAGATGTTTTTTGGCAATTTATATTAAAATCTGCTGGCTGTGTATGAGAGATGCATTGGAAGTTATGTTAAAATCTGTTGGTAATGATGTTAGTTGTTTATTGGCAATTTATGTTAAAATGCATTGGTGGTATAAGAGAGATTTATAGGCAAGTTATGTGCAAATCTTTTGGCAGTGAATATGAGAGATTTTTTGGCAATTTATAATAAAATGTGTTGGCGAATTATGCTGGAGATTTTCTAAATCTGTTAGCATTCTTCTATAGTTCTAATTTCTAATTCTCTTACGTTGACCACTTTCAGCTAGGAATTCTACTATAGAGATTTATGGGCAGCAATTTATGTTAAAATGAGATGGCAGTGTATGTAAGAAAAAATTATATGTTAATAGTTTCTTAAATAAATAAGGTAGCAGTTTCTGTAAGAAAGATATTAGCAGTTCTTTTTGTAACTATATCAATATTCCTTCTTATAAGCTCTTGGCGATTAGTTAACAGTTTCTCCTAGAAATAATTCAATGGTTCCTGTAAGAAACACAATTTGTTCGCTACCGCTTACAGCTTATCAAAAGTGTGCCTAGGCTCTATCTGAAAAAAAGCATTGATTGGAGTAAGGCTTATTAATAGTCGCTATTCATTTAACACTAGTCCTAACCCCCCGAGTTGTGGTGAAATAACAGAGAAGAACCGCGTGCAGGCGCATTGGTTGGTGGTCATCAATAAAAAGAGGGAGTGGGGGGGGGGTGACAAAATGTCAAAACTATGTTTTTAAACATAAATCGTACGGGCATAGTTGTGAGAAGGGGAGGGGGAGGGCGTGGGGGGGGGGGGATAACTGGAAATGAAAATTATCAGCACTGGATACCATTTGACCTTGCAATGCAGCTGACTGAAATATACACTTTGGAGTGAGTATCGACGCCTTTTTGGATACTTTGTGGTGAGTAGAAAGAAAAGACCTTGGTTAAACTAATATAATACCAGGCAGCTCACAAAGCATTTGCTGGTTTCAACTGACAAGGTATTGTGTCATAAACTCCCATTGACACAAGCAGTTCATATATTAACCCACGTTGTGCTAATTCTTTCAATAAATTTGCGGTCCTATGGCGCTATTAATCCTCATTCCCAAACTGTTAATTAAAGTAACAACTTTTTAGAATTTGAAAAGTTAAACTAACGAGATTTATGACTGAATTAGTTAAAAATTTGTCCAAGAGAAAGAGTTTTGACTTGAACTGAACATGTAGTAGAGCATTTTACTGTAGAGTCTGTTTTTATGATTCCCCGTGTGAGTTCAGGGGCTCCATTATAGAAAACAGAGAATAGACACACTGCCCCCTGGGAAGCATGCCGTAGGAGGCAACTAGTCAGGGTTGTTTCATTCACAAATAGAGTAAGCAAGGAACGAACAGTCTGCATACAAATAAGCCTGATCTGTGTTAACGGATGTACACGCAAAACTCGAGTTCTGGATCAAGAATCAAGTGTCCAGGAGTAGATCAAATAACCCGAATTTTCCACTGAAGTTTATAGCCAGTAAACGCTAAGAAGAAGTAGAATAAGACATCTTTGTGACAAAGGACTGTCCCGTAAATATACAAACGAAAAAAATGTTAAACGGTTAACAGTTAACTATTTTCCATTTAAAAAATAAATAATTATTGTACAACATACAAACAAACAAAAGTTACACTGATAATAGTAAACTATATACCATTTTAAAAAATCGGTCTTGTACAATACACAAACGAAAAAAAAAATGTTACACTGTTAATAGTAAACTATTTTCCTTTAAAACAAATCCTTCTTGTACAAAACACAAACGAAACACAACCATATTGTTAAATATATTTTTTAATTTGTCAAGAAATGGTTATTGCAGGTCACAACCCTGGAGAGACAGTTCGGCTTTACCTCTCACCAGACGGGCATTATAATGGCGGCAAACGACATCGGCTATCTCGTCTGCGTGCTGTTTGTGAGTTACTCCGCCTCTAGGCTACATATTCCAAGGTCACTAGGTAGGTCCAGCGGGACATCTGTTTAATTCGTAACAAAATGTAAAAAATTGTTATTTTTACGCTAGTCTCCCCATTTGTACACCACTATACACCAGCTCGCTTCTGATTGGACGAACTACTGGCCACCTCACTACTGATAGGTCGGCCTCGAGCGATCCGACTTTCAAACAACGTCACGGATATTCCGCACTCGCGCTCATACCTCGTGTTGTATATTTCACCATGCCAGAGCTTTTAACAGTTCTAAAACATTTAGATATTAGGTCAAACACACAAACCCACTAGAGAGTGACAAAACCTATGTCACATACCGTCACTTTCTCTGAAATAAAAACGTAAATACTAGATTATGTACAAGTTGGTGTTAATGTCTGTTAGGTTGTTCCTGATGATGTCGCTCCATATCTTGCTTGGTCTTCCCCTTGTTCTGTGTTCATTAGAACTCTTAAGCATGGCTCTCTGTGACAGTTGGCACCAGGGCATTTTCCTCAGGTGGCTAAACCATCTTATTTGTTGTTCTTTAATGAATTGTATGACTGGCTTCAGTCAAAGCCTTCTTCTAATTTCTGCATTCCTGTTTTTATCCCTTCTTGTCACACCGGCAGCTCTCCTAAGACGTCTCTGTTGTTACGATCTTCCGCTCGTTAGTTGTAGTAAGGGTCCATATTTGGCACTGGTAGCACAATGTCAGTTATAAAACCATTCTTATGAGATTGGCTTTGGTATTCAGAGGTATCATTCTGTGCGTCAGAAGCGGTGCAAAGTTTGTACAATTAATTATATAATTTTTTCATCAAAAAAATAAAATAAAAAATAAAAATAAAAAAAAACACAGACACACACACAAAAAACGACACATCTATGTTATGTTAACATCATTTCTTTCACTTCAGGAATAGCAACTGTGTTGTTTGGAGTGTCTGGCTTGGCCTGTTCGCTTCCGCACTTCATATTTGGGGCACCTTCAGCCGGTGATCTGAGCTCCGACACACTCAATGTGACGTTATCATTGGCTTCCGTTCCGAAGAAGTCTTCCATGTTTGGAGCTTTGTGTGACCCCAGCAATTCTACCAGTGATTCCTGTGAAGCTCTAGCAGGTAGTCTGTCTGTCTGTCTGTCTGTCTGTCTGTCTGTCTGTCTGTCTGTCTGTCTGTCTGTCTGTCTGTCTGTCTGTCTGTCTGTCTGTCTGTCTGTCTGTCTGTCTGTCTGTCTGTCTGTCTGTCTGGCTGGCTGGCTGTCTGCTGTCTGTCTGTATGTCTACACACCTATCCGGTCATACGTCCGTTCATCAGTCTGTTATTCCGTCCGTCCGTATGTCATCTGTCTGCTTTCATCTACTACTAGTAGCAGTAACAGTATTATTTGTATCATCATCAGTATCAGTGGTGGTTGTAGTAGTAGCAGTAAAAGTAGCAGCAGCAGCAGCAGTAGCTGATATTTTTGTTATTGTTGTTCTTGCTATGGAAGTAATAAAACAATTTCATTTTGTGTCACAGATTTTAGCAACATTTAGAAAAATGTCAAGGGATATTGTTCTAAAACCAATAATCTGTGTCTTCTCCATTACTACACAACCAACAATTTACGTCTTCTCTATACTACTACACAACCAACAATCTACGTCTTCTCCATTACTACACAACCAACAATCTACGTCTTCTCCATTACTACACAACCAACAATCTACGTCTTCTCTATACTACTACACAACCAACAATCTACGTCTTCTCCATGACTACACAACCAACAATCTACGTCTTCTCCATGACTACACAACCAACAATCTACGTCTTCTCCATGACTACACAACCAACAATCTACGTCTTCTCCATGACTACACAACCAACAATCTACGTCTTCTCCATGACTACACAACCAACAATCTACGTCTTCTCCATGACTACACAACCAACATTCTACGTCACATCTGTTACTACGCAAACAATAATCTACATCTTCTCTATACTACTACACAACCAACAATCTACGTCTTCTCTATACTACTACACAACCAACAATATACGTCATCTCCATTACTACACAACCAACAATCTACGTCTTCTCCATGACTACACAACCAACATTCTACGTCACATCTGTTACTACACAACCAACAATCTACATCTTCTCTATACTACTACACAACCAACAATATACGTCATCTCCATTACTACACAACCAACAATCTACGACTTCTCTATTACCATTACAACAAAGCCAGCTAGCTATACAAAAAAAAAAAAAAACTGCAGCAACAACCAGACCCATGTATCTTCTGTTTTTCTGCTTCTGCCTGCATCCCCTAATGGAGCATAGGCCCTCAATATTCTATCCTTCGTTATTGCCGGCAGCTCTCCTCGTGACATTCTCATCTATTTAACTTCACTCTCTAAGTCCCTTCTTTTTTTTTATGTGTGTGTGTGTGCCTTTTTTGAGAAAGGGGGGGGGGGGGGGGGGAGGTGTCTTACTTTTTTTCGATGCCCCTGTGGGTTCCAGTGCAAAAACATTCTACTTATATTATTTCTCAGGTTTTCTCAGCGTGTGTCCTATCCAACGCCAGCGTATTTTCTTCATCTCTTGGTCCACAGGAACTTATTTAGTTCTCTCCCAAAGCTTAGCATTAGTGGTTCTATCATTTCATTAAATTCGGTATATTTTGGGCAGGCAAGTTAGTAAATGTTTGTGGTTTATTAGCGAATGTTCTAGTTGCCCTCCATCTTTCCGCTGTATTATCTATTACAGCCACAAGATCATCCAGTTCCCTATTTACGGCGCCCGAAAAAGTGGCCAAGGCCTCTCTGGTTATCATTGTCATCGGTATGATGATTCAGGGCTTTGGCAAAGCTCCAAGAACGTCGCTCACTGTGACCTATATCGATGACAATACGTCCAATGTGAACACAGGCTTTTATATGGGTGAGTTTTTTTCTTTCCCAAACACACGAAGGCGGGTATGTATGTATGTATGTATGTATGTATGTATGTATGTATGTATGTATGTATGTATGTATGTATGTATGTATGTATGTATGTATGTATGTATGTATGTATGTATGTATGTATGTATGTATGTATGTATGTATGTATGTGTGTGTGTGTGTGTGTGTGTGTGTGTGTGTGTGTGTGTGTGTGTGTGTGTGTGTGTGTGTGTGTGTGTGTGTGTGTGTGTGTGTGTGCGTGCGTGCGTGCGTGCGTGCGTGCGTGCGTGCGTGCGTGCGTGCGTGCGTGCGTGCGTGCGTGCCTGCCTGCCTGCCTGCCTGCCTGCCTGCCTGCCTGCCTGCCTGCCTGCCTGCCTGCCTGCCTGCCTGCCTGCCTGCCTGCCTGCCTGCCTGCCTGCCTGCCTGCCTGCCTGCCTGCCTGCCTGCCTGCCTGCCTGCCTGCCTGCCTGCATGCATGCATGCATGCATGCATGCATGCATGCATGCATGCATGCATGCATGTATGTATGTATGTATGTATGTATGTATGTATGTATGTATGTATGTATGTATGTATGTATGTATGTATGCGTGTATTATTGGTACCCCTAACGCCCTTTAAATTGGTAAGCAGGTCCCCGCCTCCACCATGTTCTCTTTGTGGCGACGCTCCTGTGATGAATTATGCAATATTTTGGTTCCTGTTTTCTTTTTATGCAGGCATAATCGCCACACTGGGTCACCTAGGACCAGCGGTTGCTTTCCTGATGGGAGGTGTGTTTAGCAAGATGTACGTCACCTTACAACGTGAGTGTACAACACTGTGCTGTTTGCTGTTTGTTAATAAGTAAAATTTAGTGTCCGCACCTAAAATTAGCCGCACTAATCTTACAAGGGTGATCAGAAGAAGGGGATAAGAGCATTGCCAATCAACAACGCAGACATCGAAATAGAACAGTTGATTCAGGTACAGATACATTTCTTCAAAACGATGGAAAACTGCGCATTTTTACAAAGACAGTTTACTTCTTCTTCTCGTTCACTAGCTGTGAATTCATGCGGAAGCTCACTGTAGTTTGTCCATTTGGACTTCTGGCTTTTACCTGGACCTGAGTTTTGCGTGTGCATCCGTTTTACTGGCTTTTTTGTTTGCCGTTCCCTGCCTCACTGGCAGATGTACTCCAAATTCGAGGGAAGATATATATATCAAACGAAAGTTGTGTAAAATTGTAAGAGCTTATAAAGGCACCAGTCAGTTAAAAAAAAGTAAGCAAATGTCTTTTGTCCACACCCTTAGGCGTATTGGGAATATAGGGTTAGACAAATACGTTATTAGACCAACCGGCACTCTGTGGGTGATGTTGTCAGCATCACGCCGACCGCCTTTAATTTCCAGGCTGTAAACTCCGGAGGAAAGTTCTGGTTTTCACCCACCTCTAGACTTTAACCTTGTTCCAGAAACTGTGTGTTGCATGTACATCCGTTTTACAGATCTGACTTATTTGTATGCACGGCGGCTTTCCTGTTTGAACCGTGGATGAATAAAACTACTTTCACATTCCAGCCACGAACCTGACGCCTTACCACCCCAGATGGATCGGAGCATGGTGGCTCGGATACGTGTTGTTCGGTACTCTAGCCTTGTTCGTCTCCCTGCCACTCTTCTGCTTTCCTCATCGGTTACCTGGACAGGGCAAAGGATTCAACGCAGAGGATACTCACAAGACGAGGTAAGACACCTATAGGGCCATTCTATATGGGTTTTTATCATGACCGTCTCTAGTAAAGGTGCTGCGGCTGATGACGTCAGCTTTAAGTGACGACACGACCGCGGGCTAACGATACGCAGTCCCATTTTCTCGGTGTGTTTCTGATCGTCCCCTAAGTACTGCATAAAAAATATTATAGAAATAATCTCGAGAATAGAACATGTATATAGTACACAAACATATACAAATTAAAAGGAAACACTAGGAAAAAAAACATTTTAATATAAATTATTACTGAAGTTTGAAGACGGATCTACATCATGGCACACGCGTAGTAACCTATAAGTGCTCCATTCTTCTTCTAACTCAAGCCTAAGTCTGAATAATCTCGGCACACTGCACAGGCTCTGTAGCACCAGCGAGGATCCTGAAATACTTTGGGTAGATTTTCAACTCCACATTTTGCCCGTTCAACGCCGTTAGGCAATTAATTTTCGATTTCCAACTGCCGCGGTATTTTTTACGTTCGCAACATTGCACACAGGTGTCCGATCTCATTACCCAGAGACCTGGGGGAATTACTACCAGTCTAAGTCCACGCGAAAAAATCCCAGCTCTTACCGGGGATTAAACCCGGAACCTCTAGCACTCAAGGTGGACACCATGCCTCGAGACCACACATCCCCCCCCCCCTCCTCCTTTCCGACCATATACAATAAACAAATAGAGATATATTGTTGGTGTTTACCGGCACATGACTGTCGCTTACATCAGGACTGATTTAGCCATTACAGGTGCCCAAATTATAACTTCTTTCAAGGTTGAACGGGGTAACTGGGATCTGTTGGTCTGTCATCCAGATTGAGATTTTTATAAACTCAGGTTGGTAAATCTTCTAGTAGCTTCCTAGAGGAGACAAACTGAACGATCGATCGATGAATTGATCAGCACTCATAAGAAGGAGTTAGTTAATTGTGTGTCCTTTACATGACGTTGCAGACCTAACTCCAGCATTTTTCGGCTGTTGTGTTTTTTCTACGCAAATTTAAGGTTCATTCACTGCAAATATTGTTTTTCTGTGTGCGGTCAGTATGTGCGCTTATGGTTTACCCCGGCCCGTGCTAACATAGCTTAGAGGGAACGTTGATGCTTGCTTTCTTAGTTAGTCATTTAACTCACTGGCTAGTAAGTTGTTCGGTTAAATAAAAAATGATCACCAAGTGATGACTGCGAAGCTGCAACCATGGCTAGACGGCATGAGCATCATGTTAAAATGGATGTGGCCAGACAAGCGCATTATACAAGAAGCCAAATAATAAAAAGAAACTAACACAAAAATGGTGTCTTCAGCCGCTACACGCTGCGGGATTTACTGAGAAGGGGATTTGAGTACTTATGGATCAAATGGTAAAGGTAAAGATAAAGTCGGGAGATGTGAACCAGCGTCATCGCACAGGGTTGCAAACCATAAGTGCTCTGCCATCAGTACGGACAGCTGATAAAAAAACTGTCCTCCATTTACCCGAGAGAGTTAATTCTGGTATCCACTACCTAGAGGCTGTGGGTGAACCCCGGAACCGCCCGGTTTAGAACACCGGCCGTGGGCTGTAGCAAGTCGCAGCAGAATTTGAAAGCGCGTCTCTTATTGACTGCACTAACGCTGCCCCTGGACTGAATGTATCTATATGCTGTGAGGATAATATGTCTAATAACTAACTAACTAACTAACTAACTAACTAACTAACTAACCAACTAACTAACTTACTAGCTAACTAACTAACTAACTAACTAGCTAACTAACTAACTAACTAACTACTTACTAACTAACTGTAATATGTGGGATATATTGAGCCTGTTATAAATTGTGTTTGGCTACACTTGCGAACTAAAATTGTCAGGTTTGCAGATCGGGACTCTCCATAGGTGGCCAAGCGGGACAAAAAGCTCCTTTTTGTGTCGCCAGTCGTCACAGGTACATGTAGTCCTTCCTATCGTTTCGAAACTGTACAGGGTTCTCAACGCAGAGTAGGCACAGCGGACTGAGTCGAGAAAGATGAACTGGCATTGTAGTTAGGTGGTACGTTCATTAGCTAGATTGTGTTAGATTTTCGATACGCATCCTCGCTCAGAAATTTTTGATTGTAGTTCGCTGGAGGCGAACTCTCATCTTTGTTGGCGTGAGTGGTTAGCTAATGGTCTGTTCGAACTCGTTGTTGATTGGTAATGTATTGTTATCTGCGACGTACGCCAGTTTTGTGTTCAGGAAAAAAAAAAAAAATTGATTGTGATAATTATATTTCGTTTGTTTAATTTAGAATAGGACTTGTAGTTCGTGCATGTGGTCTTTATCTAGATTTTCAATGTGCATCCTCGCTCGGACATTTTTGATTGTAGGTTGTTGGAGAACTAACTAACTAACTAACTAACTAACTAACTAACTAACTAACTAACTAACTAACTAACTAACTAACTAACTAACTAACTAACTAACTAACTAACTAGCTAGCTAACTAACTAACTAACTAACTAACTAACTAACTAACTAACTAACTAACTAACTAACTAACTAACTAACCTAATAACTAGCTAACTAAAAAACAAACTAACTAACTATTTAACCAACAAACTAACTAACTAACTAACTAACTAACTAACTAACTAACTAACTAACTAACTAACTAACTAAATTAATAACTAGCTAACTAACTAACAATTTAACCAACCAACCAACAAACTAGCTTTCTAACTACCTAGCTAAACTAGTTTAACTAACTAGCGTAACTAACTAAATAACTAACTAACTAACAAACTAACTAACTAACTAACTAGCTAGCTAGCTAACTAACTAACTAACTAACTAACTAACTAACTAACTAACTAACTAACTAACTAACAAACTAACTAATTTACTAACTAACTAACTTACTTACTACACAACCAACTTACTAACTAACTAACTAACATAACTAACTAACTAACTAACTAACTAACTAACTAACTAACTAACTAACTAACTAACTAACTAACTAACTAACTAACTAACTAACGGGTTAGCTGACTAACTAAATAACTAACTAACTAACTAACTGGTTAGCTAACTAACTAACTAACTATCTAAGTAACTAACTAACTAACTAACTAACTAACTAGCTAACTAACTAACTAACTAACTAACTTTCTAACTAACTAACTAACTAACTACTAACTAACTAACTAACTAACTAACTAACTAACTAACTAACTAACTAACTAACTAACTAACTAACTAACTAACTAACTAACGGGTTAGCTGACTAACTAAATAACTAACTAACTAACTAACTGGTTAGCTAACTAACTAACTAACTATCTAAGTAACTAACTAACTAACTAACTAACTAGCTAACTAACTAACTAACTAACTAACTAACTTTCTAACTAACTTACTTACTACATAACTAACCTACTAACTAACTAACATAACTAACTAACTGGTTAGCTAACTAACTAAATAACTAACTAATGAATTACCCAAAACTGCCCAAGCTCACCAAGAAGCATGTAACACGTGATATAAAATGTTCTCTTTTTTTTTCCTTCTCAAACGAAAGACTGACCGAATTAACAGCTGTCTGGGTCTTAAAAAGTTGAGTCCCCGTGTGGGTTTCAATACTCCATTTTGGAGAACAAGACGTAGACCCACTGCCGGTAAACGTTGTGTAGAAGAACCAAGTGTGAAGAGGAACCAAGTGTGAAGAAGAACCAAATGTGAAGAAGAACCAAGTGTGAAGAAGAAACAAGTGTGAAGAAGAACCAAGTGTGAAGAAGAATCAAGTGTGAAGAAGAAACAAGTGTGAAGAAGAACCAAGTGTGAAGAAGAACCAAATGTGAAGAGGAACCAAGTGTGTAGAAGAACCAAGTGTGAAGAAGAACCAAGTGTGAAGAAGAATCAAGTGTAAGAAGAACCAAGTATGAAGAAGAACTAAGTGTGAAGAAGAACCAAGTGTGAAGACGAACCAAGTGTGAAGAAGAAAAAAGTGTGAAGAAGAATCAAGTGTGAAGAAGAACCAAGTGTGAAGAAGAACCAAGTATGAAGAAGAACCAAGTGTGAAGAAGAATCAAGTGTGAAGAAGAACCAAGTATGAAGAAGAACCAAGTGTGAAGAAGAATCAAGTGTGAAGAAGAATCAAGTGTGAAGAAGAACCAAGTGTGAAGAAGAACCAAGTGTGAAGAAGAATCAAGTGTAAGAAGAACCAAGTATTGAGAAGAACTAAGTGTGAAGAAGAACCAAGTGTGAAGACGAACCAAGTGTGAAGAAGAAAAAAGTGTGAAGAAGAATCAAGTGTGAAGAAGAACCAAGTATGAAGAAGAACCAAGTGTGAAGAAGAATCAAGTGTGAAGAAGAATCAAGTGTGAAGAAAAATCAAGTCTGAAGAAGAATCAAGTGTGAAGAAGAACCAAGTGTGAAGAAGAATCAAGTGTGAAGAAGAATCAAGTGTGAAGAAGAACTAAGAGTGAAGAAGAATCAAGTGTGAAGAAGAATCAAGTGTGAAGAAGAATCAAGTGTGAAGAAGAATCAAGTGTGAAGAAAAATCAAGTCTGAAGAAGAATCAAGTGTGAAGAAGAACCAAGTGTGAAGAAGAATCAAGTGTGAAGAAGAATCAAGTGTGAAGAAGAACTAAGAGTGAAGAAGAATCAAGTGTGAAGAAGAATCAAGTGTGAAAAAGAATCAAGTGTGAAAAAGAATCAAGTGTGAAAACGAATTAAGTGTGAAGAAGAATCAAGTGTGAAGAAGAACCAAGTGTGAAGAAGAATCAAGTGTGAAGAAGAACCAAGTGTGAAGAAGAATCAAGTGTGAAGAAGAATCAAGTGGGAAGAAGAATTAAGTCTGAAGAAGAATCAAGTGTGAAGAAGAACCAAGTGTGAAGAAGAATCAAGTGTGAAAAAGAATTAAGTGTGAAGAAGAATCAAGTGTGAAGAAGAACCGAGTGTGAAGAAGAATCAA